AAAGAAGCCTCTAGTTGCAGTTGATCAACTGGGACAAGGTTTCTGTGTCTGTGCCATGACGGTGCAGAGGCAGGCAGATGGCTGTGGTGGTGTCCGTGGCTCCGCTCCACGAGGTCACTCAGGTGGGCTGGAGACCAAAACACAATCCATGCACAGCTCTCCTCCTTCTCACAGTCGCTTCCCTCTCCACCATGGATCCTCAGAAGCATGAGTGGAACAGAGTGAACAGAAAGCTGTTTTCTTCTAAAGATCAAAAAAAACTTGAACATTCAAATAGGGATAGATGTTATTTTTGCTCAAGAACACATTTAATAAATCTTCCATTGAGTAGATCTGATTATAAACCCAATTTTTTTTCTGCTTTAATCTTGAAAGGTATTTGTATGATTTTTGGAAATAATTTTTTGAGTGTAAAATTATATTTTAAGCAACTTATTTTAAGTTGTTATTTACCATTTGATAATTACTCCTAAAAAGTCATCAATTTAAAAAATGTAATCTGTTGCTCTAACTGTCCTCCACTGAGAGTAATTTGTCTTTTTAACCTCTTCAGACTCATTTTAAGCTCTTAAACTTGCCTTTTTAAAAACAGATTTATGTTGTCAATTTATTATTTATGATGAACTGATTTATGTATTTATTTTTGCTACCACAAGTAGAGGAGTCCTACAAGTTGCTATACCAACGATTGGCCTCTAGATGGCAAAAAAAACCCCATAATACACAAAAGAGAGACACGTTCTTAGAAACCCTGGGAAAGGAAGACGGCTAGTGCCCCTTTAACAACTTGGAGCCCCAAAGGCAAGAATGGTGTGGAACATGTGGAACAACTGGAAGGAGACACCAGGGTGCAGAGTTGTGGAGAGCCTGCTCTGTACTGAGACCAAAAGTCCAGCCTTGCCTCTCACTACTGCCTTGACTATGTCCACATCTGCTAATTGAATAATGTCTTCTAAATTCATGCCAAAGCCCTAATTGCTGAAGTGTAAGACATGAAATAGGGGATTATATGCATCTTCCCAACACCAGCATGAAGCTCAGGAGGGAGACTTCTTGTTTTCTCTTAGTATTTTACTAAGCAAGATTTTGCCTCTGCAGCACATTTCCCTTTCCTGATTGTCTCTCTTTTAGCAGAAGACTGCCCAGCTGCTTCGCTACTGAGTCTCAGACTCTTACCCAAAGCCGTCAGTCTAGTGTTGCTGTCTTCCTTCATGCTATTTTTTTCTTTGTTTTCTTGTAATCCTCTTAGCAATAAAATAATCACTTTTTTATTTCTAGCTATTAAAGATATTATCTTAATTACAGTGATTGCCTTCAGAATGACAAATGGACTTTCAAAATGATGTTAAGAGATCCAAATCCATGTGCTTCGGAAGTTGCATGACGCCCTGCCTAGCATGGGTGCACAGTGACTTCCCCAGAGTGTTCCATGCAGCTGGACCCACAGACTCCCCAGATGGCTGAGGGTTGTCATCGGCTGTGTGCAGCTCATGATTGGAATAGATGATCGGATATGACTTAATTTACCCTTCTCCCTTTAAAATTCAGGCACAACTTGACCAGCTTTTAATATAAAAACAGAGACCTTGAGGCTGACAAAGCAAACTCTTTGTAGCAAAAAGATACCAACATGACAGATACCAGGTCCTGGGAGAAATCAAAGCATCTTCCCCAAGACATTTTTATTTAATGTATTTTTAAATGCCTCTGCAAAACTGTTTCTTGTGGGACAAATCTGTAGAGATTCCTACCCATTTTCAAGTCTCTGTCCTGACCCAGAGAGATTTAACCGAGTCTGGCACCTCTTAAGTCTTATAAGAAACAATTACAATCTATTCTCTCTGAAGCCTGTTACCTGGAGGCTTTATCTGCCTTACAAAACCCTGGCTTCACAACCCTTTTCTTAACAAAGAAACTCCTTTCTGTTGATTACAGGTCATTAGACAAACTCTTAAAACCACCTATGAAATCTTTGAATCCACCTATGACCTGGAAGTTCCCAACATCCACCCTCCTTTGGGCTATCCTGCCTTTCGTATCAAACCAATGTACAACTTACACATATTGCTTGATAGCTTACATCTCCCTAAAATGTATAAAATCAAGCTGTAGCTAGACCACCTTGAGCACACATTCTCAAGACCTCCTGAGGCTGTATCACCAATATGCCTTTAACTTTGACCAAATAAATTTCTAAATTGATCAAGACTTGCCTAAGATACTTATTGGTTTACAGGTATCACTGGATACACTTAGGGAAGTGAAGAGATTTATGACATTGAGAAAAGGAGGAAGCCAGGATGTGGGGACAGAGAGGGGGAGACTGTGATGCATGTACAGTACTAAAACTAAGACTTGGTTCTGTAATGGTGTAGTACTGAGCATTATCCCCAAATAGTGACATTGCATTCCAAGAAGCCTATGTATGTATCTTTGGGAAAAGGACTTTTGCAGCTGTAAATTAAGGAGCTTGAAACAGGGAGATAATCTTAGGCTAATCAAGTGGACCCCAAATGCAATCACAAGTGTCCTGAGAAAACAAGAGGTGGAGAGGCACTTAACATAGACTGAAGAGGAGAAGGCAGTGTGAACAGAGACAAGAGATTGCAGTGATGTGTTCACAGTCAAGGAGAGCTGAAGCCACCAGAAGGTGGAAGAGCTAAATCAGACTCTTCCCTAGAGCTTTTGAAGGAGCCAGACCTGATGACTCCAAATCTTAGCCCCGGTGAAACTGAGTCTGGACTTCTGGTCTCCAGAACTATAGGAGATTCAATTCCTGTTGTTTTAAGCTACCACATTTTTGAGAACTTGTCACAGTAGCCCAAGGACAGTAAACAAATGGGGCTCAGAGAAAAGCCAGGCTAAAGGTGCTAGGTTGGTTTGGAATCTCCTTGCTTAACTTTCTGATCCTGTGCGACTGTGTTTAAGAAACTTCTCTTTCTGGTCTGAGAGGGGCATGGTTTCAGGTGCAGGAATTTCCTGGCTCCCTGCCTCGGGGGGGTTAGGGCTCTTTGAGCACCTCCTCCATGCGGGCCAGGTAAAGTTCTTTGTCGGTCTTCTCACATGAAAAGCCAGGCAGGGCTTTTGTCCCCCGAATTCCTGCCAGAGCTCATGGAGGAGGGGGTCCTATGACTCAGGATTGTAAAACAAGTAGCCAGTCGTATGAAAGTCAAAGATCAATCAATCCAGAGAAAGTCTGAGAGAACTCCTCTCACTGGATGAGAACATAAATGGGGAGGGAATAACTCAAGGGTTAAAACCTTAGCTGCTCCCACCTGAAGGGATTCCCTCTCCGGATACCCTCCCACGACAGCATGGGAGCTGCTCTTTCTCTCTGTGTGTCTAATAAATTGCTCTTCCACAAAACTCTTTGGGTCCACAGTTTTTATTCAAATGGTAAACTCCCTGTGCCTCCTGGGACCCTTTCCCAATCCTTTGGGGTCAGAGAGGCCAAGAGCTAACCAGCCGGGTGTAGCAGTTAGGATTCCTGGTTTTCACCCAGATGGCCTGGGCTCAGGCTAGACTCTCTGAATCTGGATATCTGGATCCTGGCAGGCTGTTTGGTAGCTATTTCCTTGAAATCCAGTCTCCTGGAAAAGCAGGAGGAGGTTTGTGTACAGGAAATACTCCCCGGAGTCCCTGAGCTTCAGTGCACTCATACTGATGTAGTTGGCTGCACGGCCCCTGCTGATGAACCAGGCTGACGGGCACTGGGAAAGGCAGCTGTGTGAGGTATTGAGGCTCAAATCTGTGCTTCAGGTTTATCGGATTCAAATATTTTTTCTTCTATTTGTGCAGTGGCATGGCAGGAGATGGAGACTCTCTCTAAATGGATGTGAGACAGGGAGGCTGTCATCTGGTCAGGATGGTGTCCTCACTCACTGCTGAAGAGTAAAATAAGAGAGGGTTACTTGTGGTGCACGGCAAGGACATGCACTGAGCAGCAGCCGTCCTCGCTAAGGAGAGACGGTTCACTGACCCGACCTTTCCCCAGGGCATCCCCCTCACCTGCTCTCCAGAAAGCCAGGCTGTAGAGCAGATGCACCTGAGACCCCAGAAACAGGCTGGTGGGGAGTACAGCTCACAGCATTATCCAGGAGATGTAACCTTTCTCGTCTTGCTTTGAAGCAATTGATTATATGAGCCTAGATTGATCGAGGGTTTCAAGTTGATCCTAATTCAGGCTCCTATACTTAGGAAGTGAAATAGAGATTTTAGCTGAAGTAATCAGACCTGGCATCACTAGTCCGCTCTCCATGCTGGTGAACCATAAGAAATCATACCCAAAGGCAGGAAAGGAGATAGAATATGGAGATCATCACACCAAGAAAAAGATGCAGCCCATTTAGCCCCTGGGCATTAAAGAGACCTATAGCTCTGGATCATGGCGGATCTACGCATGGCACAGGGATCATGTTAGTGCATCTTCCGCAAATTGCTTTTCCTTATAATGCTAAGAACAACGGCTTCAGTTTATTAGTAAATTATATTGAATTTATTAAACATGCTTCTGATAAAGTCTTTTTGTTTTCATTTCAAAAAAGAAACAATTTCACATTGACAGAGACATTGTCAGTATAGCATTAAATACTTTTACACTCATCAGATTCCTTTGAGAATAACTGAAAATTCTGATGGCCCCACATTCCAAAACTTTATTATGAATTTTCTGCCAAAAATGATGCTTTCCTATACCTAATACAAGTATAAAATACATTATTTAACCTAGCCTTAGATTAATTTAAAATTTTGAAAATTCACTCCAAAAATATGTTCTGTAACCATATGGCCACCAAAGAAAAGTGTATTTTCTCAAAGTAAATCTGTGCTGCCCTGATCTGACCTGGGACCCAGGGGACACTGCCCCCGTACTGAGTTACTGAGATGAGCCAGCCCTGCAGCTGTGCCCAGCCTGCCCCAGCCCCTGCTGATTTGCATGTCCCAGAACACAAACTCCTGCCCTGAAGACTTATTAATAGGTTGGTCACACCCTACGCAGGAGTCAGTCCCAGTCAAGACACAGCATGGACATGAGGGTCCCCGCTCAGCTCCTGGGGCTCCTGCTGCTCTGGCTCCCAGGTAAGGAAGGAGAACACTAGGAATTTACTCAGCCAGTGTGCTCAGTACTGCTGGAACTACAGGGAAGTCCTCTGATAACATGATTCATAGTATGAATATTTGTTTTTATGTTTTCAATCTCAGGTACCAGATGTGACATCCAGATGACCCAGTCTCCGTCCTCCCTGTCTGCATCCGTAGGAGACAAAGTCACCATCACTTGCCAGGCAAGTCAAGGTATTAACAGCTGGTTAGCCTGGTATCAGCAGAAACCAGGGAAAGCTCCTAGGCTCCTGATCTATGCTGCATCTAGTTTGCAAACTGGGATTCCCTCTCGGTTCAGTGGCAGTGGATCTGGGACACACTACACTCTCACCATCAGCAGCCTGCAGCCTGATGATTTTGCCACTTATTACTGTCAACAAACTTATAGTACTCCTCCCACAGTGTTTCAAGTCATAACATAAACCCCCAGGGAAGCAGATGTGTGAGGTGGGGCAGCCCTGGATGCTCCTCCTGGTGCTCTATCTGCTGAGAGCATTTCTCAAACTCAGTTAGGTTTTGAAAGTCATTGGGAGATTTTCATAGAGGGGACGAGGGAGGCTTCTTTGAACCCTAAGCCTCTTTCACCCAGAAGCCCAGCAGAAAAGATGTAACAGTGCCTGTCCTGGTTGAATAAAGAAGAGAGATAAGTCCACCTGAGGAGTCTGTGTTATGGGATAATTGGAATTCATGCAGCAAAAGAGAAGCCACTCTCAATATTCCAAAAAGAAATCCTTCAAGTTGAATAAATTAGCATCTAAACCATGGTCTTTTCGAAGCCTATGGTATGTTATTCATGAAGCAGATATTAGAGACAGGGGATTCTCAGGTGATCCTCTAGAAGCCAGAGTGCAAGTGCACCTGCCCCTGGTGATATGGGCTGTGTACCTATGTGGTGATCCTCAGATCTGCCTGGGAAGCCCAGGGCTGGGGGTGCTGATGTTCTCAGCTGCCTGCAGGACCTTTCCAGGTGATTCTCCAGTTCATATCTAACTCCACGTATTTTACTTCAGCTGTCAGCGTACATGAATTCACCACTCTGATTTCCCAATCTCAGGGGATGGCCTCTCGTTGAGCAACTCTAAAGAAACAATAGAGAGAAAATGGGTTTTAGAAAATGTGCTTGTAGATGTGATAGTAACAATGGGGAATTGACAGCTGACAGGCCAGTAAGGTTACTCTTTCCACAAGGTTCAAAATTTTCCAGTTACAGATTGTCTCAAAACACTAGAATGTGCTTTCAAATCTTACCAGGAAGAAAAGTTCATTAAGTCACAGATGAAAGAGAAAAATCAGGAAATTGTATGAAATATATCATAAGGCTGTTTGTGGTAGCTCATGCCTGTAATCCCTAGCACTTCGAGAAGCTAAGGCAGGAGAATCACTTCATCCTAGGAACTTGAGATTGGACTGAATAACATAGGAAGACTCTGTCTTTTTTTTAAAAAAGATAGAACAATCATTTGACAACCAAATAAGCCTTCTTCAACAAAAAAGCAAACAGTAAGAGAAAATCCTAAACATGGATATGGCATTTTCCCCCTTAATATGAAAGTCCCTTGCTACTCAAAATTATCCAAAATTCAGCAGCACCTCAGCATCCCTGAGAGGATGTTTTGCATGTTACGTAGCAGGCCCACCTCAAATTTCCTGAAAGATAATCTTAATTTTAACATGGTAACAGATGATCTATATGAATTTTAACAATATATGTTTTAGGTGATATTTTAGCTAAAGAGATTTATTTTTTTCTCAATGAGGACATTCAAGAAAATTTCAATGGAAGGTCACATGTTGAAAGCACACCCAGCTTTACTTTCAAGTTAATGCAACATTGCATTTGAAAACATTCTGAAGATTATAAAGGTTGAAAATTATAATTATCTATCTATGGAATTATCAAATAACCTGATGTTTAAATGGAGTAAACATTTTTAGAAACTTCAGTAATTACAAAGTGAAATAATCAATTAAAGTTGTGTATCTATGTTAGAGATTGTTGGACTTAATTGCATCAGGTCAGCTTGGTGTGGGATGTTGTTTACTCCTGCGACCTATAATGAGAATCTTCTGCCCTGGGTAGTCACTGTACTTTAGGCTTGTCCTCACATAAATGCAATCCATAGGCTGGAGACAAGCTCAGTTCACTGCGGCTGAACCAACCAGCTGAGCCCTGCCTTGATCAGCCAATTGATTATGACAATGAACATTCATGAATGTGAAAATAAATACTTAGTGTAACAAAATGCTGAGTTTAAGTGGTTGGTTGTCAATAATCATTGTGCAAAAACAGGACAATACAGTGTTTATACATCTACTTATTTAGATAGATGCATTTTGTTAAAATTGATGGCATAAATATGAATATTTATTAATCCAAATATAGAGATACTAAGACAACATTTAAAACAGTAAAACTTAATACAAATAAAACCCACAAAATTTATATCATTTATGGAAAATGTACATATTTGAGTGTGTATAAGATACATACTAGTACGTTTATATTTTTGAAAAATTATTGACTGCAGATACTTATATGTACACATATATATGTCTAAATAAGGTGATTTAAGTATATTATATAAGCAACATGTGCATATTTACAAATAATTATATAAAAATCATATCTGTGAAGGTGATTTCAGTTTTCCCCCCTTAAAAACACTGTGCCCAACACCAGGTATAGTATCTGCTCCAGCTACTGAAATTTCCTTTATAACCTTTAGCTATAAAACACTCAACTAATGGGTATGTACACCTTAAAGTATTTTTCTAACTCAATGGAGGGGTAAAGGGTATTAATGGGGATAGCTGCCTAATTAAAAAATTAATCATTGCATCCTATGGAAGTCCAATCATGCTTATACCCCCAATGATGCTATGCTGGATGGAGTTCTCATAACTGGGGGCTGTATTGATGTCACACCACTACCATTGTCAAGAATGCCCTGGGAGACTAGAGGTCACAATAGTGGGTAAACCCCAAGGGTAAAGTCACCATACACTTTGCAAAGAGAGATTAGCAATTCCATGACATTGGAAATATTGGTTTTGACAGATCATCAGGCCTCAGAAGAAACAAAACTGAAGGAGTGGAGACAAAGCTGGTGTGGAAGAGCTATAACTGGACCTTTGAAAATAGCTCAAGATAAAAAACAAAACAAATGCTTCCCAAGTGAATATTCATCTGTATTCCATTACTGAGGATCTGCTCTTAGTAATTAAGGGGATCCAATACTAGAACTTCAGTCAATCATCTTTCCCAGCTTTTTAAGGAAGTCACATGAACCATAAAATCCACACATGAGCTCAACAATGTGAATTTCAGTTGATGAGGCTTGCATACCCACGGATCTTCTGAGCATTCAGCTTGCCAAGTAGCACAACCCCTCCTGAACCACTGACATTGTATCACACATCAGTGGTCAGACTAACAGCATGTGTCAAGTGAGTACAGTGGACCTAACCCAAATGTATATACAGGAAAACAGTGGTTGTTTTCCTGTATATTCAAGAAATCCTTACATAATTTAGCATTAGAAGAAGCAACTTGACTACAGCAAAACAAAACAAAACAAAACAAAACGTGAAGCCATGTATGTTCATGCTGTTGTCATATGTACAGGGCCAGCTGTCCTTATAGAAAGGAGAAAACCCATTATTAGTCAGGGAAAGCCAAAACACAAACTGCTGTAATGTCAAATCCCTGTCTCACCAGATGTACTGGAGAGACAGTGGAGGCCCTGAAACACTGATGTGTTTGATGTTGTTACCCCCATCAACAGAATAGGAGAATCTGAGAAATGACCGTTTATTATGGGTACAGAGAAGATTGAAATGTTTCTATTCACTCTTGTCTGTGGTTTTCTGGTTGACAGATCTTTTTTTTTTTTTTTTTTTTTTTTTTTTTTTTTGAGACGCAGTTTTGCTCTTGTTACCCAGGCTGGAGTGCAATGGCGCGATCTCGGCTCACCGCAACCTCCGCCTCCTGGGTTCAGGCAATTCTCCTGCCTCAGCCTCCTGAGTAGCTGGGATTACAGGCACGCGCCACCATGCCCAGCTAATTTTTGTGTCTTTTTAGTAGAGACGGGGTTTCATCATGTTGACCAGGATGGTCTCGATCTCTTGACCTCGTGATCCACCCACCTTGGCCTCCCAAAGTGCTGGGATTACAGGCGTGAGCCACCGCGCCCGGCTGGTTGACAGATCTTAATTCAAAGAATTGGCATAATAATTGTTGCATTAAGTTGGAAAAAATGATGAACCTGTGGACAATTAGTTCTCATTATGATAGAGGATAAACTTTGAACAAAGGGTCCTATGGTGTGGGCCGGGGTCATAGAACCTGATAATCAAGGGGAAATATGTTTTCTTCTACACATTTTAGAGAAGAAGTAGAGAATATGTGTAATCTGGATGAATTTCAGGAATTTACTGATATTTCCACTGGTAAAAGTTTACCTTAACTTCAGCAGACTTCAGAATGAAGCTTTGAGTAATGCAGATGAAGCATCGCATACACTTGGATGCTAGTGCAGCAGAGGGGAGATGAACTTAGTGCACCAAAGGACAGCCTCTTGGTCAGCTTGAGTTGAGAAGCACAAGAAAGAATCCATTCATTCCTTACTTGTCTGTCATTGAATTAGTTGACTCTCAGAGAAGCCACTGTGCCTGGTGAAGGAAAATTGTTTTTGTTGATGGACTAGGTGACTTAAAATCAGATGGAAAAAGCAGAGGAGTGAGCACAGGCAGCTTCTGGCACTCATTTCACTCCTCCCTGATACCTGTATGTTTCCATGATCAAGAAAAGTCCAAGGCCAGGCGCAGTGGCTCAGGCCTGTAGTTCCAGCACTTTGGGAAGCTGAGGCAGGCGGATCACCTGAGGTCAGGAGTTTGAGATTTGAGACCAGCCTGGCCAACATGATAGCCTGTCTCTACTAAAAATACAAAAATTAGCAGAGTGTGCTGGTGTACCTCCGGCTACTCGGGAGACTGAGGCAGGAGAATCACTTAAACCTGGGAGGCAGAGGTTGCAGTGAGCCAAGATCACACCGCTGCATCGTGGCCTGGGCGACAGAGCGAGACTCCTTCTCCAAAAACAACCAAAAACTAAAGCCCTCCTATTGTGACAGGAAACTGGTAAGGAAGGAGGCTGTGCCCACAGGATGGTGGTGTCTGACCAAGTTCAGTGATTCTATGTGAATTTGCTTATGATAATGGCCACTAGCTGCATTCATGTAGCTGCAAAGGACATCATTTCATTTTTTAATTGCTGCTTGGTGTTTTCATGATGTTTATGTACCACATGTTCCTAATCCAGGGTACCTTTGGTAGCTATTTAGGTTGATTTCATGTCTTTTCTATTGTGAACAGTGCTGCTATGAACATATGTGTGTACATGTCCTTATAGTAGAACAATTTA